TCATTAGAGGAAAGCAGGAATCCAGCAGCAAGAGGGGCACCCCAACCCAGCAAAGTGTGTCCAAAGTGGGGAAGCAGAGGGAAAGTATTTAAACCAGGCTCTGGGACAGAGCAGTGTGGTTCAGAGAACTGGAAGGAGTGTAAAGCCAGAGCGGGGACCGCTGGCCGTGGCTGTCTCTGCCCTGGCGACCAGGACAAGCTCATCGTCCCAGACAGAGCTTTGCAGCTCTCACCTTGTGGGCTCCGCCCTTCCCAGTGCTGGGCAGATGATTTCCAGGGGGTAAGGGATCCAGCGTTGAGATCTGTGTCCCAGCAGTTGCTGGATTTACAACTGTGTGGTTTCAGGCAACTCGTTTTCCCCCTCGGACTCTCTTCTCACCTGGGATCATCAGGTGCAGTACCTACTGCATTTCATCACCTCTAGAATACCAAAGACGCTACGAGTCCCCTTTGTTTGGCATACACACAGGAAAAACCCTGAGAAGGAAGTCCGCTTGGGAGGTAGGAAATGACTGTGATCGCAACATGGGAGCAGCCCAGGAGCAGGTATGAGCCAGGCTGCTGGTGCCCTTGTCTCCTGTTAGCCTTGCATTGCCAGGTTGTCCTACCTGGCTTCCTGGTAGATTTCCAGGGTGTCTCTTGGAGTGTGGCTTCTCCCACAGTCTCTTCTTGCATGGTGGTTGAAGAAATTGACTAGAGTTTTAACAGCAGGGTAAGCTGACTCTGTGCACCAATGCCCATGATGGGGAGATAGGGATTTGGCCTAGCAGCTAGATTGTCATTTGCCTATCAGAGTGCCTGGATTGAGGTCCTGGCTTCACTCCCCATTCCAGCTTCTTGCCGATGTGCACCCTGAGAGGCAGCAGCTGGGGGCTCAAGTAATTGGTTCCCTACTGCCCACCTCAGAGACCCAGACTGAGCTCCCAGTTCCTGGCTTCAGCCCGACCCAGCCCCAGCTCTTGCAGGCATGTGGGGAATGAACTGCGAGAATGGGAGACACGTCTCTCTCTACCTCTATTTCTCTGCCCCTCAAGTAAAAAAAGCACATTTTTTTCTTTAAAACCCCACACTGAATACACCACACCCAATGAAGTACTGGAACTCAAGGTGCCCCCCAGCTTGGGGTCCACTGGAGAAGACTGTGGGATCTAGGCAGGGGGTTAAGGTTTCCCTTCTCTGCTCCTTTTCCAGATTCCTCAAGGGGAACTATACGCTGCTCTGAGTACTTTAAGTTCTAAAGCAACCATGAAAATAACAAAACAAAAATATATAGCTAAGAAGCCAAAAAGGAGATAAACTGGAACCACAGAACACACACTCAATCCAAAAGAAGACAGAAAACAGGGGAACGGGAATGAGGAACAGATGGGACAAACAGAATATAAACATGACGACAGACTTAAGCCTCAGCATATTAATCATCACATTAAGTGTGAGTGGTCTGACATAGATTCAAAATTATAAACAAAATTTTAGCAAATTGAATTCAACACGATTGTAAAAAGTCAATGTACCATGACCATACCGAGTTTAATCCTAGGAATGCAAGGTAGCTTTGCCATTTGAAAACCAATCAGTGTAATTCACTGTATGAGCAAGAGAGACTATCTCAACAGATGCAAAAGATAATTGACAAAATCCAACATCCATTTCTGATTTGAAATGCTTAGAAAGTTAGGAAAAGAATGATAAAGAGTATCTGAGAAAAACCTACAAGTAAAATCACACTTAACTGGAGCCGGCACTGTAGCATAGCAGTGCCAGCATCCCATATGGGTGCTGGTTTGAGTCCTGGATGCTCCACTTCAATCCAGCTCCTTGCTAATGCCCTTGGAACAGCAGCGAGAAATGGTTCAAGTCCCTGGGCTCTAGCAACCACATGGGGGACCCAGAAGAAGCTTCTGGCCCCTGGCTTTGGATTGGTCCATCTCCAGCTGTTGCAACCATTTTGGGAGTGAACCAGTAGATGAAAGATCTCTCTCTTTCTCTCTCTCTCTCTCTGCCTCTGTCTCTGTCTCTTTTTAACTCTGCCTTTCAAATAAATAAATAAATCTTTTTTTAGAAGGAGCCTATTCTTTTTTTAAAGATTTATTTATTTATTTGAAAAGCAGAGTTAGAGATGCAGAGGCAGAGAGGGAGAGAGAGAAAGGTCCTCCATCCGCTGGTTCACTCCCCAAATGGACTCAACTGCCTGAGCTGGGCCGATCGGAGACAGGGACTCCCTCTGGGTCTCCCAGGTGGTGCAGGGGCCCAAGGACTTCGGCCATCTTCGACTGCTTTCCCAGGCACATTAGCAGGGAGCTAAATCAGAAGTTGAGTAGCCAGGACTCAAAGTGGTGCCAATATGGGATGCCAGTACTGCAGGTGGAAGATTTACCCGCTATGCCACAGCACTGGCCCCATAAATAAATCTTTAAAAAAAAATTACACTTAATTGTAAATGACCAAATCTCCTCCCCATCTAGGAACAGGAAAAAACAATTCTGTTTGTTCTCACCACTTCTATTCAACATTGTACAGAAAGTTCTAGAAAGTGTAATCAAGTAAGAAAATTAAATAGAGGTCATCCAGATTAGAAAGGTGAAATAAAACTCTTTTTACTCAAACACAGCAAAATAATCTACATAGAAAATTCAATGCACTCTACAAAAATGCTACTAGAATTAAATGAGTTCAGCAAAGTGGAAAGATACATTATCAATATCAAACTATCAGTTGTATCTATATATACTGGCAATGAACACTCAGAAATAGAAAAAATTTTACATGTAGCATTTCAGTAGCATTAAAAATGTAAAATCCACAGAGATAACTCTGACAGAAGTGAAATACCTACATGCCAAAAACACAAAATAATGTAGAGGGAAATTAAAGGATAATTAAGTGAATGGAGAGCTGCAGTTACCTCATCCAACAAGTGAGAACTGGACGTTTGGTTCATTTTCAAAGTAAGATGTTTAGCTGTGAGTATACAATTAGCTAGCATAACAGCTTACAGACAAGTAGCTAGCTAGCATAACAGCTAGGTCACATGCACCTGCCAGTTCTTGGGCACACAGGATGTTCGTAGCCAGAACAGCTGAAGCAAATGCCGGGAAGACTGTAACCCCATAGTACTCAGCCAATGAGGAACTGGGGGTTGGACTTGCATGCTAGGCAATAAATAGCTTGCTGTAAATGATCCCAGGTATGCTGGCCAACCAGGCACCCAGTCTTGCAAAAAAGTTAATAAACTGTCACTTTTGCTGCACTTTCTGAGTCCATCCTTTGCATGGACAGGTGAAACTGTTTCTCACACAATATTCAGCAGACTCCATGTTATCAAAATATCAATATCACCATTTGATCCAGGTTTCATTGTAAAGCTACAGTAATCCTAAGACATGCACTACTGTTAATTAGATAAATAAACAAATAAACAAATAGATCAATGGATCAATGGAGCCAAATAGGTAGCCCATATAGACACACACAAATAGCCAACTGGTTTTTTGACAAAGAAGCAATGGCAATTCAATGGAGAAGAAAGGGTAATCTTTTTAAAAACAATGGTGCTGAAACAATTAGATGCTTGCCAAAAACAATGAGCTTTTATCAATTGATATATCATTCCATATAGAAAAATGAACTGAAGTGGATCAGTGAAAATTTACTGTAAAATCCAAACTATAAAATTTTGAGAAACTAACATAAGGAAAAATCTGTAACCTTGATTTGGGCAAAGATGCCTTACTATGATAACACAACCGCAATCCATAAAAGAACAAACTGATAAAGACACCGTTAAGGAATGAAAACAAAAAGTGCAGAGTGAGAGGAGATAATTCACAAAGCATGAATGTGATAAAGATCTTGTATCTGGAACAAAGAACTCTCAAAAGTCAATAATAAGATAACTAAAGGCCCAATTTTTAAAATGGATAAAATGTGAACACACACAACACAAAGGAAAAAAATAAACATAGCAAATAAGCACATAAAAAGATGCTCAATGTGACAGTCATCAGGCAAAGGTGAATCAAACCTCAATAAGGAACCACTGAACATTGACTGGAATGGCTGCAGTTGAAAGATTGAGAGTACCAAAGGTTAATAAGGATATGGAAAAACTTGAATTCTCATACACTGAGGCAGGGAATATATAATGTTACAACCACTTTCTTTTTTTTTTAAGATTTATTTATTTATTTGAAAGTCAGAGTTACACAGATAGAGGAGAGGCAGAGAAAGAGAGAGAGAGAGAGGTCTTCCATCCGATGTTTCACTCCCCAAATGGCCACAATGGCCGGAGCTGCACCAATCCAAAGCCAGGAGCCAGGAACTTCTTCTGGGTCTCTCACATGGGAGCAGGGGCCCAAGGACTTGGACCATATTTTACTGCTTTCCTCGGCCACAGCAGAGAGCTGGATGGGAAATGGAGCAGCCAGGTCTCAAACTGGTGCTCATATGGGATACCAGCGCTCCAGGCCAGGGCGTTAACCCACTGTGCCACAGTGCCAGCCCCATACAACTACTTTATAAAACAACTCAGCAGCTTCTCTTTTTAAAAATGTTTGTTTTTAAAAGGCAAAAAAGAGGGAGAGGGTGACAGAAAGAGTTTTTCCATCAACTAGTTCACTCCTCGAATGGCCTCAATATCTGGGGTTGGGCCAGGCTGAGGCAAGGAACCGAGAACTCCCCCCAGATCTCCCATGTGGTAGCAGGGAATCACTTACTGGAGCCGTCACCTGCTGCCTCTCAGGCCGTGACTTGGCATGAGGTTGGATGAGAAGGGCAATAGCTGGGATTCACACTTGATCTTAGCCAAAAGGCCAAGAAGGGATCAGTAGCCAGGTTTCAAACTAGGCACTCTGCTATTGGATGTGGGCGTCCGTGTGGCAGCTGAACCCTCTACACCACACTGCCCGCCTCCAGGCCCTGTGAGATATAGAACTACCACATGATCCAGCCTGGGTATTTACTCAAAGGAAAATGAAACATAACCCATACAAAGACTTGACACACAAATGTTCCTAGCAGCTTTATTTGCAATAACCAAAAACTGGGGGAAAATGTTCAATAATAGGATCAATGCATAAACAAATTGTAGCACATTCATACAATGAAATATGATTCAACAATGAAACAGAACATACAACATGGGTGAATTTCAAAATAATTATGCTGATTGACACAAGCCATATTTTTAAGTTATTAATGTTTATTTACTTTTATCTACTTGAAAGAGAGAGAGAGAAAGAAAGGAAACGAAAGAGAAGGGCTGGTGTTGTGACAGACTGAGTAAGGCCACCAGCATCCTCTATGGGCGCCAATTCAAGTCTCTGCTGCCCCAATTCCTATCCTACTGTCTGCTAACGCACCTGGAAAAGCAGCAGAGGATGGCCCAAGTGCTTGGGCTCTTGCCCCCAAATGGGAGATGGGAAGAAGATCCTGGCTCCTGGCATCGTCGCTCTCTCTCTGTAACTCTGCCATTCAAATAAATAAAATCAATCTTAAAAAAAGAGATAACGTTGAGGTGCCAGTGTTGTGACTCCTCAGGTTAAGTTACCACTTGCAATACCAACATCCCTTATTGGCATGCCAGTTCAAGTCCTGGCCACTCTGCTTCCAACCCAGCTCCCTACTAAAGTGCCTAGGCGAAGCAGCAGAAGATGGCCCAAGTACTTGGGCCTCTGCTCCCCACATGGGAGACCCAGATGGAGTTTCAAACTCCTGGTTTCAGCCTGGTTTAGCCCTGGCCATTGCAGACATTTGGGGAAATGAAACAGTGAGTGGAAGATCTCTCAGTCTCCCTACCTCCCTTCATTCTGCCTTTCATATAAATAACAAGAAACAAATCCTTTTCATTACGGCTGGTGTTTGGCATAGCAGTTGAGAAATCATTTGGAACTGCCACATCTCCTATTGGAGTGCCTGGGTTCAAAGTCTCAGCTCCATTCCCTCTTCCAGCTTCCTATTAATGCAGCCCCTGGGAAGCAGCAGTAATGACTTAAGTGGTTGGGTCCCTGCTACCCATGGACTGAGTTCCTGGTTCCTGGCTTTGGCCTGCCCCAACCTCAGCTGTTCTTAGCATTTGGGGAGTGAATCAGGAAATGGGAAAACTCTCTCTCTCCCCCTCCACCCCTTTCAAATGAATAAATATTCTAACAGAAAAAATAAGTGTATTTTGGTGCATTTTTAAAATCCATGCAGTCTTTTCATAATACACATTTCCCAGGAACTTCTTGAAGTTTATTGTATGTCAGTTACACCTTAATGTTTAAGAAACTAAAAGAAAATGTCCCCACTGTTTTTACATGCCCATGTTGCAATGTGAATTTTGTTCTAACCCTTTGCGGTGGCCAGGAGGCTCTGTGTGTTCTGGCCCAGGCCTCTCTCTCTTATCTTGTTCCACACATTCTCTCCTCTCCTTTTCCTCGAGTCACAGGGGCCTCCCTGCTTATCCCTCCAAGCCTTTTCCCACGCTAAAGACTTCCACTAGCTTTTCCCTCTCCCCATGACATTCCTTTGGCTGGTTCTCGACTCCAGCACTCAGCAAACCCACCAGGCCTGGGAAACGTCCTCCTGATGACCTGGACCACGCAGGGACCACATCCCTGCTCCTCTGGCACATCAAGGCCCACTTCCTTCAAAACTGTTTTCATCCCAAAGGCAGCCTCTTTGTCGCTCACCACCGTGTTTACTGCACGTCTCTCTGAAGAGTTAAGTCCTCTAAGGGCAGGCAGGGACCTTTCCTATCTTGTTCATCGCTTGGTCCTCAGTGCCTTGTACACTCCCTGGCACCTGGTGGGAACTTGGTGAATATTTTTGATTGAAGGGCTAAATGAAGTACATTGTGGAAGCCTTGGAAGTAAGAACTGCTGAAGTGTCCACTTTGCATTTAAGATTTACACTCTACACATGTAAGAGCTTGGTTTTAGAGCATTTGTCTTCCTATTTTCATACTCATATTCTATTCATCTTTCTGACTTTCAGGAATGCTCACTTTTCTCATTTTGCAAGCCAAGGTCAGCCTCTTTGACATATATAAACTCCAGGCTGCTTTCTGACGGGTCCCAATAATGTCCCATATGATACTGCAATTTATCAAAAACTCAAGTTTAAAATAAAGAATTCAGGAGATATTCCTTGTCTACAAATGCAGAGCATTTGGAGGCAAAAGCAAGTATTCTCATGTTGTTGAAGAGTTGGGGTGGAGAGAATAAGAAATAATCTTTTTACTTGACCTACCACAAGTCAAGCAAAACCACTGTGTACGACACATACTATTTTGTCTCCTTTCTCTAAAGGCGAAAAGCAAGTTAATGGCCTCTCTGGGCCTCAAAACACACACAGTTAATAAGTAGAACCTCCAAGACTCCAACCTAAGTTCTCTGGCGTCAACAACAGGAACCACAGAGAAAGGCTCTCCAGTTCTTCAACATTTGCACCCAGCAATAACTGACGTCATTTTTCCTGACATTGTACTTGGCTAAACCCAATCACACAGCCTTGTTTAACTTCAAGGCCACAGAAAGAGCACCCCGTGCTCCTAAAAGCAGAACAGAAATACTAGTGAGCACCAGAAATGTGTTCCTTGAGGAGGCCCCGAAGATGACTGAAGAGAATACCACCAGCCAACTTACATCCATGGAAGGCTTTAGAGCACTGAGTAGCAGTAGTAAGATTTGAGGTTCTATTAAGGTCTGAAACAGAGGGTCTGTGATCCTACACTGCCTGGTTTCAACCTACGAAATGCAAACGGGATGTGTGCCCATGAGCCACAGGCCTCTATTCAGCATTGAGGCATTGCATTTCATGAGAAGGGTGCTTAAGACTCTTCTCACCTTGATGTCAGCAAAGATTAGCACATGTCTGTTGGCTCAGCTCTGCAGGTGGGAACTCTCTAATCACATTCCCACTCCTGTCAGCTATTATTGCCCCACACCAGCCCTGCCAAAACATCTTCCAAGCAGCTGGAAGGTCTACTGCTGACTTTGCAAAAAGCCCCTCTTAAAATTCTTCCTTTCTTAGAAAGTGGCTCTGGCGGGTGCAGAGCAGTTCCCACCAGCTGGGAAGCATTTACACAGAACCAGCACCAAAGGACACCCCTCTCTCTGTGCATGGCCACAGCCCGGACAGAAAACATGGTCTGCAGCTTGCTTTTCCCACCTGTCAGATGTAAGAACTTTGTGTGTGCATGCCTTTGCTTACAGAGACTTCCCTGATTAAGCAAATATTTTCTCAGCAAATATACGGTTCGATTTTGTTTTCACTATATATGCCATTCCCTTCCCATAATCATGATATTGAATCAAAGCCAAAAAGATGCTCTCTAGTCATGTGTGTCTTTGAAAGCTGGAGCTTGGATCTTCCCATTCTCTGTTTAATTTATGAGAGAAACATGTTCTGACTACAACCATATGCCAGTTAGAGTCATTTCTTTTTCCAAGGCTTTTCTCTAGGGAGTTGGGATGCTCATCTTCAAATCCAGGAAGATATTGCTCTGCAGGTCAGATTGCTTGGGAAGTAGCTCTGAGACAAAATTAGCAGGCAGGACACTTATGAAGACATCCTCCTTGAGAGCTGCACCTGTAGATGAAAGGCAACGATGCAAGATGAAGCAGAGGGAAAAACCAGGCAACAGCCAAAGCTTCTGCTACCGCACAAGGAACACAGAAGCTGGAAAGGCCTTCCGAGTTCCATGCTTTGCTCCCAAACATAGTGGCTTTCTGCTTTGAGCAAATAAGTCACCAGATGCAGGCTGTTCCAGAAAGGGGGCATGACCTTGGCTGATGGAACTGTCTCCAACCCAGGGCAGTTTCCAGAGAAGGTCTGAAACATGTCCAAACCACTGGGGTGCAAAGTATTGCATTCCTGAAGGAGGATCGAGGTGGCACATTACAGCGTCCACTGCGAGTCTTATATCCATAACCATAGCACAAGTTAGGGGGTATGACGTCACAAGTGGAGTACTACAACTCTATTACATACCATTCCTGTCCAATTTTCAGCCTGCACCAGGTAATCAGTGGGAGCTGGGATTAGACTTGTCTCCTCTCACACTTACCAGTGACTCCATTCCTGAGATGCTGATGTTGACCAACAAAGGGCACTCACTGTAGGCCATCCTGAGTCATTAAACCAGACTCACATAACCAACAGCAGGGAGGGTATCTACAAGTTCAACCCTTTTGATTTTGCTTGGGACCTTGCTGCATTTAGAGATACAAGCATTTGCCTAGCCTGAGGCTTTCCTTCAGCCTGCTGGCTTCGGGGAAAGAGTTCAAGGAATGTGACTTCCTCAGCTGGGCTCCACATCCTCTGTGCTTCCAGCTTGCCTTCCTCCTTTCACTTGTCAGCTCCGGGCTGCTTTGGATAACTTCTGATTTCAAGCTAGGAGATGGCTGCATTGTAGGTTGAACCAAGAGATGATAGGTTTCTGTTACATTAAGCTTATTTATGATATTGTATTGCAGTAGCACTAAGAAACCAGACACCTGAGAATATTGCCCACTCATGGCCTGCTCATCACCCTAAATTGAAAATAATTATACTGGATTTCACATGAAGGCCATCATAAGGCCATCAAATAAAATAGATGCATACAGCAGGTTTGAATCTAGATCATCTGCAAATCAAAACTACAATAGGGTGCTATCTCACACCCCCATGAGGATGACCACTATCAAAACAAAACAAAAACAGACAATTACAAAAGTGAGGATGTGGACAAATTAAAACTCTTATGCATTGCTAGCAGAACTGTAAAATGGTGCAGCCACTTTGAATAATTGGAACTTCTAAAAAATAGTATTCTTGTATGATCCAGCAATTCCACTTCTGGATATATGCCCAAGAGAATTGAAAGCAGAGTCTCAAAGAGACTCATGTTAGTTGTAGCATTATTCACCATAGCCAAGAGATATAAGCAGCATAAATGCCCACTGTCAGAGAAAAATGGATAAAGAAAACATGGAACATATACACAATGGAATACTATTCAGCCTTGAAAATGAAGGAAATCTTGTCCAATGCTACAACATGAATGGACCTGGGGGACATGCTAAGTTAAATAAGCTGTACATAAGAGGAGAAACCCTGCATGGTTCCACCCATGAGATCTCACGAGCAGTCAAACTGATGGAAACACAAAACAGATTTATGGTTGCCAGGGGTGGGTGGAGGACAATGGGGAGTTGCTGTCAGATAGCTGCAGAATTTTAGTTTTGCAAAAAATGAAAGTTCTAGAGCTCAGATGCATAAGATGAATCTAGTTAGCACTGTTGCACTGGATACCTCAAAGTTGGAAAGGGTAAGCTTCATCCTGTGGGTTTTTAAAACTCTGGTGGAAGAGAGAGAGGAGGAGGAGGAAAAGGAAGAGGGGGAGGAGAAGCAGAAGGGGAGCAGGAGGTGAAGAAGGGGGAGACAGAGCAGAAGGAGGAGGAGGAGGAAGAGGAGCTACGTCATCTGGCTCTCGGAGAAGAGAAAGAGAACGGGAGGTGAAGAAGTAGGGATGGGGGAAGTGGGGTGGGGAGGGCCAGAAGGAGGAGAAGGGGGAAGAACCACAGCACCTGGCTTGTGGAGGAAGAGGAAGAGGAAGAAGAGGAGAGAGAGGAAAAGAGGAAAAAGGGGTGGGTGAGAGAGGAGGGGGAGGGATCATGGCCCAGCACTCCAGTCCCTGCAGCACCCCACCTCTCAGCATCCGTGCTGGAACTTGGAAGGACATAGCACGGACTGGTCAATCAACAAGAGGACTCTGCACCCACTGAAGCCTGCAGCTCAGCAGAGGGAGGCCTTCGCTGAGTACCTACTCGGGGCTTCAAGTGTACATGAGTCCACATGCTCTTACCAGCAGCCCTGTGCCCAGACCTCCATTCTTCACCTTGGCCATGAAGAACAGCAGCTCAGAGAGGGGAAGGGATCTGACCCAGGTCACCTGGCTGCTGTGGGGCAGAGCTGGGGCCTCCTTCCTCCACCCTGTTGCCTGCTTGATGACTCTTTCACTTGATAAAATCACTAGGCATTACGGAACTTTTAGGAGCTTTTCAAAGAGGTAACTGCAATTTCTCCCCCCGCCCCCACATGCACTCATATGTGTGTTCATCTGGTTTTTTTTTTTTTTTCTTTTTATCTGGAAGGGAACACTGATCATCTGGTGAAAAATATTTTCCTTAGAGATCACTTGAGGTATTTGGCGATTTAGACCACCAAGTATCGCCAACAAGAAAGAAGTAGAATGCGGGACTGAGGGAGCAGAGGAGGCACTGAACACGTCTCGAAAGGCTGGAGAGAGGCTGGATGGAGGCCCATCTCCCCTGCCGCCACCAGGACGTTCGCACCACACTCGGAGCTGGCAGACCTTGGGAGGCTGAGTCAGGGTGGCCTGGGCCACCTCTTGCCAGTCTTGAAAGCCCTCTAGATTCCTGCCAATGGAAAACCAACCGGCTCCTCCCGCCATCCCGCAAGTCTTGCTGTGTTTGGATGTCTTTCCCTTGTGCCAAAACCTGATTTCCTGTTTCTAAGAAAACAACTTTTAAAATGCCCTTTAAAAAAATGATTCCTTAGGCAGCTTAGACATCAAAGAGCTCTTATAAAGCAGGCTTTTGTTTGGTTAAGTGCACACGCATCAGAAAAGTTCCGATTAAATTTCCCCTTTTTAAGTGCTAGGGATTTTTACTGCACTTGGGCAAAAGATTTCATCACGTAGATTACTGGGGGCTGCAGGTAGCTTTCCACTGATGAAGTCTGCCCTAGCAGAGGTAAGGAAGCAGAGGCCTGGAGAAGACCTGACTTACCCAAGGGCTCACAGCGAGGGAGAATCAGCCGGGCTCTTCCGTCCTGCTCAGGGACTGCTTCCGTGCGTCTGTCAGTCTCTCCAACAGCTGGAAGTGAAAGACTTTTCCAAGGCAGAGGCTAGGTAAAATGTGAAACAGTCAGGAGGAAGCTGGTAACTATGCCTATCTTTGAGAAAATGTACCAGAGTCTTGAAAGAGTAACCCCAATTATCCTGTACTGAGCATGTATCTGTGCTGGCATTGGTCACTCAATGGCCACTATGGTTTTATGAGGTATTTACTGTCTTCTCTCTATTTCACAAAAGAAAAAGCAGAAAGAAGGACCAGCATTCATATTCGGGTTTAAACTTTTGCTGTATTTTGAGGGTGGCCAGAATATTCTAGGCTCTTTCTATGTGATGTCAACTAACCTGAGAGCAAGCTAAGACGTTGGTTGATATTACCGTCTCCACTGCACAAATGAGAAGCTCAGGGCTTAAAGAAAGCGGCCGATCTGCCCACGTGTTCACCACTGGGAGTGTCAGAGCTGGGTGTGAGCCTTAGCCTGGCCTTCAGAGCTCATTCTCTTTCTGTTTCCCACTACCTGGAATTGTTGTGAGGATCAAATCAAATCATGGAAGTGAGAGACTTCTGTAAAAACGGTAAACAATGTAATAGATAAGAGGGATTATCATGTTTAAATCTAAGTTACTGTATTTTCCTAAATTTCCATCCTGGCTTTTAAACAGCAGGCTTCAAGAGCCAGGCAATGATAAAGGGCCCTTGGTCTCTCTGTTGGAAAAAACAATAATATTTTCCAAATAAGAGATTTGATTGAGCACATACTTGCTTTCCTTTGGTGGCCTCAACTACTCTATGTTTAATCAAGTCGGAAATTTTTGATCCTGACGGCTGTTGTTGGAGGCAAATGAGAAACGTGAAGCTTCTTTCTGACCCCACAGGAGAGAAGGCACCTGAGAACGACACCAATGGCAACGTTCCTAAGACCCAAGGCTTCTTCCTTCATTGGTTTCTTCGTTCACTCATTCATGGCTATCCGAGGAGCACCCTGCCTTAGGCTTGAGGAATGCAGAGAGGAGTGAGCCCCACGCTCCACAGTGCCGAGGGCCTCTGCAGGTATCTTTCGTGAGCACTCCCCGCCAGTTCTTCCTTCTTTTCTGTCCGCCAACACTTGATGACAGTGGATGGCCCAACCGTGCCACTCCACAACTCATTTGTTCAAGCCCCGCCTCCCAAATCTCAGAATGTCACTGCATTTGCAAGTAGGGTCTTGAAAGAAGCAATTAAGGTTCAAAGGAGGTCATTAGGGTGTTTTCATCTGATGTGTGGGTGCTACAAAAGTTCATGGAAAACTGCGTTTCCCAGGTTCATTAACAGGGAGCCAGATCGGAAGTGGAGCAGCCAGGACACAAACCAGCACCCGCATGGAATGGCGGATTTGCAGGCGGAGGCTTTACCCGCTTTGCCACAGCAGCAGCCCCTCCATGTTTTCAGTGGTTTTTGTTTTGTTTTTGTATTTTGCCCAAGATATATTTGTCATTCTATTCTATTTTCCACAAATGTTTGAAGCACTCTCATGGGTCTGGTATCTTTAAAAGCAAAGGAGATCAGGACATAGACAAGTTTATTGGGTGAAAGGAATCATGAATGAAATTCCCTCAAGGCATTTGCAATCTTAAAGGGAGATTCCACTTGTGTTTTTTTCTCCCTTTCTGCCCTGGGGCTGGAGGCCCGGAGTGGAAAATCCTTGGGCCTGCTTTGTGGAGTGCGGATTCTAGCAGCTCATGAGTGTCTCCTGGGCCATGAGTCTACTACACCACGACAGGGAAGAGCAATGCCTGCTGCACAGGGAAATCCCTAACCCAGCCAGGGAGGAGCGAGGCTGGCCGGCCCCCTGGGGAAGAAATCCTGCCAGCTGCCAGGACGTACAAATTCTTCCCCAGAAGGTGGTGGGGACGGATTGTTCCAGGTGTGTGCACAGGCTCAGTGGCCAGGCCAGCCACGGCAGGCCATGTGCTGAGGAGCAGGGAGAGGGGGCTCAGGCAGAGTTAGGAGCCAGGTCCCGGAGGGCCTGGGCTGAGCCACGGTTCCTGGGGTTCCTGAAGGTAAAGCACACTCTGAAGGGTTCCAGCATCACCTGCTGGTGCTTCATCATCAGATCCAGCCTTTCACAGATGAGGTATTTGTGGTTCTGAACTGAAGTGACTAGACCTGGAACTGAAGCAACTTAAAAACCCACTGCTAAGGAGAAATCTCTGTGTTTCTCCTTCTCCTTTCTTCTACCTAAGCAGTAGACCCCACCATTACCTTGCTTCCAGCTCCGCTTTTTTGGCAAAATCAAACCCCATATCTGACTCACCATGCTGTCTCTCAGTTCTGTGATCACTTAATACTGGTCACACGCATGCTGGTCATGGAGAGGCCCTGACAGGTAACAAAAAGTCTTCATGTTGGGCAGGCCTGGGAGCCAGTGTTAACAGGGCCGGGGACCTTGGGGCAAGTCACTTCATGTCTATAAGACTCAGTTTCCTCATCTTTAAGATAATATAAGGGGGCAGCACTGTGGCATAAAAGGTAAAGCCACTGCCTGCATTGTCGGCATCCCATAGGGGTGCTAGTTTGAGCCCCAGTTGCTCTACTTCTGATCCAGCTCTCTGCTATGGCCTGGGATAGTAGTAGAAGATGGCTCAAGTCCTTGGGCCCCTGCACCTACATGGGAGACCTGGAAGAAGCTCCTGGCTCCTGGCTTCAGAACGGCGAAGCTCCAGCCAATGAGGCCATCTGGGGAGTGAACCAGTGACCAGCGGATGGAAGACCTCTTTCTCTCTCTCTCTCTCTCTCTCTCTCTCTCTCCCCCTCTGCCACTTTGTAACTCTGACTTTCAAATAAATAAATCTTTAAAAAAAGAAGAAGGTAATAGGGTGGGTTCTTGGGCTAGCAATTAAGACACTAGTTAGATACCTGCATCAGGGTGTGTGAGTTCAGGTCCAGATTCCAGCTTCCTCCTACGGCAGCTCCTAGGAGGCGGCCACTACTCAAGTAGTCAGATCCTGGCCACCCACAGGGGAGACCTGGATTGAGTTTCTGGCTCCCGGCTTCAGCCCTGGCCCATCTCAGCTGTTGCCGGCATTTGGGGCAATGAACGAGCAGATGGGAGAAATTGTTCTCTTTCTTTCTCTCTCTCAGCCTCTCTAATACTAATTTTTTTTAAATGAACGGTGACGATCCCCACAGTACTCAGTCCCCTTTTCTTCCTTGTTAAAGTCGCGCCTCCGGCACCTTTTTAGCACACATGGCTGCCAGCTGTAGGCTACAGTCTGCAGCTTTCTTTTTTTTTCAGCTGAAGGTGCTCATGTGACCACATTCAGACTGGTGACCAGGGACATGAGCTGAAGTGATGAGTGCACTGTCCAAGGCACTCCTTGAAGACATTTCAGCTGCATGCCATGAGCCCCTCTCATCCATTCTTTCTGCAGCTTGGACAATGGGAACAGAGGGAGCAGCCACAGGGCTCACGCCACAAACAACAGACCGACCTTCCAGCCTGGGCTCCTGCACATCCTAGTAGAAGTCCTGCCCACCTTGGAGCCACAACTACACAAGAGAGAGGTGAACACCTGCTTTACTTAAACCACAAAATATCCAGGTCTCTTTGTGCATCAGCTTCCTGGTACCCAGGCTGTAGGAGACAGAACCCACAATAGAACCTACGGGATCTGTGAGCAGTCCACATCAGTAGCTACAATCAGGATAACTTGATGGAATGGGGCAGCTCTGGGTAACAATGTCAAGGGGAAGCTCATCCGGCTCTGAGATTTCCAGCATGGGTGTCTGGGAGAGCAGCGGAGTGCTTGATGGAACATGGGTGACGGTGAGGAGGACTGTTTGGGGACAGAGAACCAAGGCAGGTTCTCACCATGTTGAATGTGAGTTGCAGGCAGGACTCCCAGCAAGAGATGCCAATAGCCAATTTGAAAATGGAGCTGAAGCTGAGGCCTGGAAACAAAGGGTCCCTGAAGTGGTGGTGGGAGGTGGGGTGATGAGGTTTCTAAGACAGAGAGCTGCAGACACAGATAGGCTGGAACGATGGCGAAGAGACCAGTGTGGCTGCAGCAGATGTCTTGGGGTGGGAGAGGGAGAAAGGACTGCAAGGGCAGGCGGCGCCAGCTGCCCTGGTGAGGGACACAGCTCTTGCTGGCAGACGTGGAAGACCAGGGGCTCTTCCCGAGTGAGGCGCTGAATGCTGAAGGATCTGCACCTGCCCCTGTGCCATCTCCATGGGTGGAGAGTCAGGATTCCCTTCCTCTGGAAATCAATTGGCCACCACTCACAATCATTTCATGTGATACTGAAATGTGTGTGGAGGGTACCTTAGCAGTTGACGTACCAGCTTAAATGCCCACTGCCCACATTGGAGTATCTGGGTTCAGTTCCCAGCTCCAGCTCCTAACAATGCACACCCTGAGAGGCAGCAGTGATGGCTAAAGTAGTGGGACCCCTGCCAGCCTCATGGGAGACCTGGATTGAAATCCTGGATCCTGGCTTCAGCCCCAGCCCAGCCCCAAGCACTGGGAGCACTTGGGGAGTAACCCAGTAGATGGAAGCATTCTCTAACTCTCTTCTTTCTCCATCCTTTTCTCTCTCTTCTTCTATCTACCTCTTTTTTAAAAAAGGATTTATTTATTTGACAGTCAAAGTTACAGAGAGGCAGAGGCACAGAGAGAGAGAGAGAGAGAGAGAGAGGTCTTCCATCCACTGGTTCACTCCCCTGATGGTCGCAATGGTCGGAGCTGAGCCAATTTGAAGGCAGGAGCCCTTCTCTCTACTTCTTACAAGTGAAAAATAATAAAATAAAATACAAGGCAACGACTTCAATGAACGTCCTGCCTCTTGGTGTTGTGTTTTAGGATCATAGCATTTTTAAAATACAGAGATGAAATGAGATGTTTTGAAAGAGATCTGAGTGTGTGATAGGAACTTGGTAAATCAGAGCACAGTAAGAGGGCAGGATTGCGCTCCGTGGTTAAGGTGTAACTACCCAGATCACTGGCTTCCCATGAGCTATTTTTGTTCTTTCTACATTTCCAATCATGGCTTGCAGGTTTCAAGTTTTTGGAG